TTTGAGGGAACATCATCGGAAACAGGACCCAAAACCACCCGGTTCACAGCAACAGACGATCTGGGAAAGAATAACGTTGATTCTGAAAATCATACACTGGCTTCTCCTCTACAAAATCGATGTTGAATGAACTTAATGCACTTAACAGACTGTATATAAATGAGAACATTTAAAATTGTGTAAATCTTTAAACGGAATATGTAGCTTGAGCATTTGAGGCTACAGACGATAAGCACCAGCACAGTATATTTAGAATCTGATAACAGAGTTTAAGTGAAAGTCAGAGGCACAGGCACAGCTGGGCTACTTTTGCCTGCATGCACCTGAATATCTGTAAAGTGTATAGGACTGTACATACTTTTTTTTGTGTGTCACATTATGTGTATGTGAGAATGCTACCTAACATAGAAATCAGACTAAGGTGAGTGATTTCATGCTCAGTCTGTTAATTTATAGTCAGGTGAACGAATGAAGATGGGACGGTTGGGGAAGTTTGCGAAGTTTGGCCTTACACAGAGACACAGATTGAATGGTTTATATGACACTGTGTGGGATGTGTTCATGTGATGTGTGTGTGTTTTAAATGCAACGGTTAAGAATTGTAAATGGCTGTACCCAAAAGGCAGACTCACAAAATAAAGCTCAGTAGGTTGATTTATAATGATATAACTATATAAAATGAGCTGACAAAGAGTGATGTAGCCTAGGTGGGCCTAGGACGTAGTCTAAGAGGGTCATGAGAGAGAAAACAAGTGTAAGTGATGACTTGCAGGGAGGAGAAAAAAGTTCAGCTCAGAGGAGACATTGTGAAGTATTCCTCAAGGCAGGCCTAATCAAAATTAGGTTTTTGGGGCCTTCTATTACTGTCAGTAATACTGCTTAGTGATCATTCACACACCTACTATTATCCTATTTCATTTTCTAATGTTCCATTATAAATATGCTTGTGAAACTAGATGTGAGAACTTTTTGTTGTTGTTAGATTGAGCTTTAGCACGGTAGATTACAAAAAATCAAAAAAACAATTTGCACACTTGCAGAAACATAATTCAAATAATATTTAGCAAAGTCAGCATCTCCCCCTAATGGCCACACAGAGAAGCAATATACAAAACCTCAAAGAGCTGCACAGTTGCAGCAGTGTTGTTTGCATCATCTTATTGCCAGCCTGGAAAGTTTAACCCATCTATGACTTTAATCTGAATTGGTAGTAAGTTCAGCTGCAAGTGTGCCTGGGATTGATTTACACTTGATATTCAGTGTGATATAATATTGTAATGATTGTTAAAGGCTATTCTACTGTGACAGGTTGACTACCTGTGTGCACTGTTGTTGTTTCTTTAAGAGACATGTTTGGTTGCGCAGCAGGAAATGTCAGTGAGTGTGTGCAGGAAGAGAAAGGGAGTTCTTGTTGTTCGGAGCTGGAGAGGAGTTATACCGGAGGTCTGTCTTAGGGGTTAACAGCCCGTGTTTCTCTACCTACACAATAAACCGTGGTGAGATCAAAACGTCTGGTTCTTGAGAGCATGTGTGAACATTATAATATTAACTAGGATACTGAATGTCATAGGCCAACTAAAATTAACAAAATAGAACAACAAAATTGTATTTACTATAAATACATCAGCTGCCTTATTATTTTTGGTTTTAAAAAAACTGTAACAGCTTTCTGCAACAATTTGAAGTGCAACAACACAGCACTACAAAAATTAGACTAATGATTAAAAGCAATTCAATGAACCTATGTACTTAAAACATGGAGCTTGCCTGCTCAAGCACTTGCCTTGCTTGTCCAGAGGGAAATGCCTCTGTGGGATCCACAGGCTGACTTTGGGCTTTTGCTAAATGTTGCGTACTAGACTTACTCACCACTCAATGCATTTTACACGTTTAAATAGACAATTCGCTGAAAAATTTGAATCATATGTATTTCTGTTATTTCATTTTATTCTTATTTTAAAATATCTGTGATTTATGCCATCTGTTAATATAATGATGTTTGCCTGATGGTGCTCAATGTGCAAATTTTACATTGATTTGTTTATTAAATGGGGGAGGAGGGAGGGAGGGTAAGGCAGAGGACAGGGGAGATGCTGACAATAAACGCACACCAGGTGCTTAGGGGGAAAGGTATATTGCAGTGGAATAAAAGTTATTGATTACTCTTTCATATGGTTGTTTGTTTGTTTGTTTTTTTGTAATTCATCTAATTCATCAGATTAAAGATAAATCCCAGCCAAAAGTGAAAAAGAGAACACTTCCAGCAGGCTCCTGGTACATATTTTCGAGATTGAAGAAAAAAAGTCTTTAAAAATTCACAAGATTTTATGTAAATGTAAAGTGACATTCCTTTAAGTTTTGATTTACTGTAATGTAAAAGTACAGAAAGTTTGTGTGTTTTAATTATTTAAAAAATCGATATTTTTATACGGCTGTTGGAATATTATTAAATTTGTTTTAACACATTTCTTTGTTTTTTTTTGTCTTGTTTCATTTTGTTTTATATTGTGAAGAGTAGCATCTTCGTCAGTGACAGAGCCTTGTATGAACAAGTAGGTTTTGCTGTTGTGTGTGTGATCTCTAAATGCGTGTTTGCGCTTGTGTGCTCAGCATACATGACACAGGAAAGTCTTTTGAATCATCTAACCCCCCGGGTGCTTTTCATTGCACAACACTTAGCTTAGAGTTAAAAGTGCCTACGGACACAGAAAAATGCATTCTGGTACATCACATTGGGACATCCGTTTTTAAAGAATGGATATAAAAATAAATATTCTGTTTTAGCACATATACACAGATACAGAAAAATTCTATACGACACTCATACATGGTCATGAATACAAAGCTTTAGAAAGAAAACGGAAAAGCGGGACTTTTAAGGAAGAGCATGCCTCTCGGCATCCCTCCCCTCACTGACAGCATGTTATAGCCTGCGAGGCAGGAAAGGGTTCAGTTTGGTTTTTATGGTCTGAGCTCACAAGAACACCTTCAGACTTCGGGAACACATCACAGAGAGATAACAAACCATAAAAAGGTGAGTAATATCATGAATGAACATTTAGCATATTTTCTTTTGGACCTCCTTTTGATATTTTTGATAATTTCTAAGTTTAAATTAATGCATACCAAATGGTTTACAAACCTGCATGTTATGGAGCCCTTCCATATAAAGTTATTGGCATTCTTTGCAGTTCTTTTATGATTCCCAGTTTTTAACCAACATTTTTGAGAGGTTTTCTACCCAAAGAAATGCTTGAAATTGAATGAGATAAAGACAATCACACCACTTATTTTTTCTTTGCGATCAGTGTACAGACGCTTTTTACTACAGTGTCCAAAAGTGACTCAGACAATGTCTGTGACTTCTGCACTTCAGTTTTCTATGTGAAAAAATGAGGTGAGAAAAAGAAAAAAAATCAAGTTGAATCAAAGACTATGTTGAAACACTGTTCTTTGACGCAGTGCTGCCAATGTGCAACGTGTTTTAGCACGCTGCCTCTGAGGGCTGAATCGTTGGCTAGATACTTGGATACAAATATTTTAGAGGCTGTGTCAGGGTAGCACACGTCCCTCTTTAAAAAAGTATTAGTCATTTTTTTAAATCTTCCGTATCTGGTTATTATGGGGGTTTTTATTGAATGAACCAAATTGTAAAAGAACTCTGTGTTCAGTAATTTCTGTCACTTTTGCCTCTTACATACCTTTCTATCTTTTCAGGTAATTCCTTTTTTTAATGCAGAGGGTTGATTCAATGGAAATACCACTTTTAATTATAACTTATGTGTCAGTGTGGAGCTCTCGATCATATACCCATTCAAACCACTTGTTCATATTTTTCACCTCATGTTTCATTTTACCGATTACCGAAATTACACATTAGCAGACCTCACAACTAGAAAAAATACAGTCACATAATTATGAGTTGTTGTTTTTATATATAACTATATTATAAATTATGTTTTATAATATCTAAGTATATCACTGGTTGGAGATACAATACGTATGTGCATTTGTTTGATAAAAATTTTAGAGTTTCAATATTCATCTACCAGACATATTAAAGTAAACAACTATATCTAATTTGCTTAACACAGAGACAAAAGAGGTTGTGGTTTTAGGAAGTGTCTGAAATCCAACTGTACAGAGCTGATGGTAAATGTCAAAAAACACACTTTACCAAAGTCAAACTTTGTTGTTTTCATTTTTGTATAAATTTGCTCAGATCAATTAAGTAAGATACAATTTAAGCTTTAGCGGTGCAGGTGAGAACGTGTTTTGGATGGTCTCCCATGATAATTTCTGGATTAATGTGCATTAATCCAGAAATTACTTGTTACTGTCTTGACAAGTAATTTCTGTTCCATGTGGAGAGCCAGAAAAAGTACTTCTAAGGTGCTTATCTTAACACTTTCACGCATAGTGGTCACTAGAGTGGACAGCTATTCGAATGCTGTTTTCTTGCATTTGTGCCAGTGTTGATGCGATATTTGCACATAAATTACTACATTGGACACTGATGTGTCACTCCATACCCTGCCACCCACCGGTCGTTCAATGTTACTATAGATGTATGACGCGTTTCATTGTAATTATTGTTATTTAACCCTGTCATGCATGACTTATGACAACCTTAATATGGATTTTTTTTCTTGAATATTTATTAAGTATATAATATTTAAGTATTTATACATTTTTTTCATGCCTACAGATGAATAAAAATACTTTCAAAAATCCACACTGAAGTTGTCATAAGTCATGCATGAAAGGGTAAAAAATATAAATGAATGAAAGAATAAATAAATAATACTGATATTATTGATATTATTGATACTGATATTATATTATAATCTGGTAACCGGACAGTTCCATGCTGAAAACTGTAAACATGAAGTTAGCATTTATCAAAGTGCTACTTTAGTGTTTTGGACGTCATTAGTTTTGTTTACTAAACTGTTGACTGAGTTTGTGTTTGAGGTTCTAATGTTTTTTCCCACCTTCAGGGTCAAAAATTCTTCTACAATGAGTAACACGAGTCTCCCACCTCTGACAAATCCAATTCCCACTGAACCAGCAGAAGAGAGCGCTGTGAGCAATAACTATTTTACAGCCATTGGTGCCCTCATCCTCAGCTTGGTCTTCCTCCTGGGTGTCCCTGGAAATCTCTTCATTGTCTGGAGCATCCTGGCCCGCTGCCGACAACGCTCAGTCACCACCCTCCTCATCCTCAACTTGGCATGTGCTGATGGGTTCCTCATGGCTCTCACCATCTTTTTCATCATCTACCTGGTCATGCAGTCGTGGGTCTTTGGTAACACCATGTGCAAAATCCTGTTCTACCTGTGCAACTCCAACATGTATGCGTCAATCTTTCTGATAACCCTGATGAGCGTGCACAGGCTGTTGGCCGTGGTCTTTCCACACACACTGTATCGCCTGATCACCAGGAAGGTTGTGAGGAGGGTGATCCTAGGCACCTGGATGTTCGTGATGGTCATTTCCATTCCCTCGTTGGTGTTTCGAGCTGCTACTGCTCAAAACAAAACGAAAGTTGTGTGTGCACCCAATCACACACTGTCTGAACATGTAAGTACACTTGTGTTGGCTATTTTTCTGCCACTGATCTGATTAGTTTGATTACTATATTTATTGTCATGCATAAAATGCCTTCAAAAATCATCTGTACATTTGAGAGCGCGAGAAATAGTGGGTAAGCAACTGAAAATGATAACATATATTGAGTAAAAGGTCCATAACAACTAACTGAAATTGAGGCTTTTTTGGTTTGTTTTGAAATAAAGATGCATTAATAGCTTAAACATCTGCACAAGCTGATATCAGCTTTCTTAATTCATATCAGTTTATTTCATGATAGAGTGCTGAATCGGTGAAGAAAGAAAGAGAGAGAGAGAGAAAAGCTTTGTTACTGTGTTTAAGGCCTTGGAAGCTGCAGCTTAACTAGTGTTCAAAATGTAGTTAAAATAACTAAGATTACACCAGACTGCATGTTTTTTAAGCTCTTCAGCCCACACCGTAAATACTGATGCATGAGCAGTGGCACTGCACAAAAGTCTGAAAATCATTTTGCATTGATCCTTCATAAATGTAGTAATGCTCTTCTGTAAAACATTCCTTCTTTACAAGTAAAAGTCCTCCAAAGACCACATTGACATGACTTAGGTATTTAATCTCTAAGGAAATGGCTTTATATCCTCTCATGCAGGTGAGGCTTCAGTACACCACTGAGACAGTGGCAGGATTCATTATTCCTTATGCAATCATCATAACCAGCTACGTTCTCATCCTGAAACGCCTGAGGGAGACCAGGTTTCAACGAAATGTCCGCAGCGAGAAACTTATCCTGGCTATCGTCATAATGTTTGGCCTGTTCTGGTTGCCGTACCACGTCATCAACATGATACAGGTGTGCAAGGGCATCTTCTCTACCAATAACCCAATAACCACATCAAATCTGTTTGTAAATCGATTATCTGAGGATTCGATTGAATACTGAGTGGGTTTTTATTTTTCACCCAAGGTGGCAGCTGCGTGGTACCCAAAAGACTCAGCAACAAGAAAACGGTGAGTAACTGAAGATTTTCATAAACATGATGCTAAAGTTAGTGAAGTACTATATTGTCATTTTATGCATTATGTCCAGTAATAACAATACTCTGTAATTCAAAGCTGATATATGTAGTCTGTCTCTGTGCATGCAGTGACATACACCTAGATTTAATTTTTACCATCCAGTAAACTGAATATACTATAATTGTAAAGAGTTTGAATGTGCCACCATCTTCAGTATATAATATCATCAAAATATTCCAAAATCCGGAGAAATCTCAATATCCGGGCTTCATGTGACACTGCACTAACAGCAGTCAGGATTCTGTTGTGGAAAATCACTGCAGGGGTTTAGGACCACTTACAGAAATCTCTCTGTGAATACCATGTTCACCTTACCATCCAAAATTGCAGGTTTAAGGTCTGACAAATGAGAAGTCATATGTGACTAGGATGTACAAAATTAGAAATGAATACATCAAAGAGTCAGCTCAGGTTAAGCCGGCAGAGGTAATATTAGAGAGGCAATGTTGAGATGGCATGCAGAGGAGGAAAGCATCTTTTCAGAGAAAGTCTTAATAGGGTCTTGATACTGCAGGTGATAATTAAGGGGTACTGAGTCAGTCTGACGAGGCTATAATGGCACTCTGTATAAAAACAATCACCATCAATGTGAAATATCCAACTTTAACTTTCCTGCAGATTGTATGGTATGGCTGAGTCAACCCGAGCGGTGACCTCAACTTTGGCCTTCATCAGCAGCTGTGCTAACCCGGTCCTCTACACCTTTGCTGGGAAATCCTATATCAAGAATAATGGCTTTGCCTTTATGGCTAAGCTGTTTGAGGGAACATCATTGGAGCAAACAGGAACCAAAAGCACCCGGTTCACAGCAAAAGACGATCTGGGAAAGAATAACGTTGATTCTGAAAATCATACACTGGCTTCTCCTCTACAAAATCAATGTTGAATTAACTTAATGCACTTAACAGACTGTATCTAAATGAGAACACTTAAAATTGTGTAAATCTTTGAACAGAACATGTAGACATGTAGCTTGAGCATTTGAGGCTACAGACGATAAGCACCAGCACAGTATATTTAGAATCTGATAACAGAGTTTAAGTGGAAGTAAGAGACACAGGCACAGCCGGGCTACTTTTGCTTGCATGCACCTGAATATCTGTAAAGTGTATAGGACTGTACATATTTTTTTGGAATAATCAAATAAAATTGTGATAATATTATGTGTATGTGAGAAGCCTCGTAGCCTCAGTCTCTGACTGGAAGCGCTAATTCGTCATTCGGCTTTTGTCAGACTAAAGTAACTGTTAAAACTGTTTGAAAAGCTCAGCTATACAACAAGGAGAGATTGAGAATTTCCTTTTAGTTCTCAGTTTATTTGATATTGACAAAAGTTAGTCAGTTTTGTCTGTTCTTCTGTAAAACAAACTAAGATTTATTTTTAGAATTAATATTTTGTTTCTAAGTGGAATTGACAATTTAATCTGTTTCGTTTGTTCTATTTTGAAACTTAAACGCTTTAGCGGCTGCCTTTTGTGTAGTTTGCAATATTTGCCTTTATTTATCTGAAAAAGTCTCATGTTCCTTAAGTACATCTACCCTGTTGAACTTATTATGAGAAATAAATATTTAAATCAAAACAAGCTGCTGATTATTTCACATTTTACTTGTGAGCAACGGCACATTTAAATCTTACAAATATAGTTATTTGGCTTATATCGTGATAGATATCGTTATCGCCTGAAATGAAAAAAACATATCGTGATATGAAAAAATCTCATATCGCCCAGCTCTACTTGGAAGTTTGCAAAGTTTGACCTGGTAGAGACTGGCTTTAAACAGGGCCATCAATTTCCCTCCAATTAGCCCAGCCAGTACCACTCACTCAAACTGAGGGATCTAAAACGCTACACAGATGATTAAAAAGACACAAAACATCTTCACACTTCTAATATGCACATTTACACAACTAAATGGCAGTATTAACAAAAGGAAAAAAATTCAACAAATCCCTTTAAACCTTAACACAAACAAAAGGAAGCATCTCTATGGAAAAAGAAACCCCTCCACTTGGTTTGACCTGCTGATGTCATGTGTGACATCATGTGTGACTTTAAAATGAGAAAATGCTAGGCAGGCGTTTCCCCACACCTGACCCTCATGAAGACTGAAAAGACAGAACAAAGTATGAACAAATGACTTAATCTGTAACATAATAAAATATAAAGAAACATGTAACTGAGTATTTGCCTTAATTTGCAGAATGTTTGATTTGCCGGCAACAGAACGCTTACACAAACAAAACCTGGGATAGTGAGTGCAACAATGTTACTTAACAAATAGCAAATAAATAGAAACAGAATAATGTGTATAATGTGCAAAAAAAGGTCAACACATATGGGACAATAGGAGAGCATTGCAACTGCTCATCCACTTTGTCACAGACCTTCACAATTTGGGTTGGATTTCTACAAATTCTCTTCACTTTTCATACAAAGTTTAATATATTTCTAAATGTATGAAATTCTAACAAAATCACAAAAAGTCATTTAAAAACTAAACATGATTATAAAAGATTATAGTCAAAACTTCATAAATTGAGTGGAAATGATAAAAAAAACAAGTAGTTTCTGTTATTTTTACATGGATTTGTTAATAACTGATATGTTGTGCAATTAAGGAACTTTTCACAAAAAATCTGGTGAAAGAAATTAGATCTTTCTTTTTCTTGTGCATGACATCTAATTATTAGGGGTGCAACGATACACAAAATTCACGGTTCGGTTCGATCCTTTGGTGTCACGGTTCGATATTTTTTCGATACAAAAAAATGTTCATGCTTTTTTAATTTGTCATTTATTAAAATTATAAATATATATTTTAACTCAAAAGTACAGTTTTTAAATTTAATATTGCTGAAACAACAAAGTAATAAAAAAATAAATCTATCTGATCGAGAAATCACTCATCTTTGGAAAAGAGTTTATTACAGAGAAATGGCTCTTTCCAAAATAAAAGCTATACTATACACTTCTTCTGGGGTATACTCTCAGCAGCATATTAAACATATCAGGTCCCCATAAGGAGAATCATGAGCTAACGGCTGTCTAAATGACTCGGGTAAAGTTTGTAGCATGCGTGCTTGTTGTTTTTGTCTGCTTCCACTTGTCTTTGCACTAGGATGATGTCGGCGTAAATGCACAGTCATATTTGTTGTGTTCCCACTAGTGCTGTCAGCATTAATCTGAAATGACGTTAACGCCACAACACGGCAAATCTCCGTTAACAAGCTACCGCAGATTGCCCCGTGCGTGGGGCTGGACGGTGTCAACACGTTAACGAGCAAACTGCGCTAACGCAGTAGTTCCCACCCATGTAATTGAGCATTGCGTGGCACATCCGACATACTGTTTTACTTTTGTCCATGACGTGCTTACCTTCAGGGTCATACTTCACATGAAGACCAAAATGGTTCCAAAGGCCAGATCTGAATGAGGGTGGGGGAGGTTCAATTTGCTATGTTGCAACGAGCTTAACTTCTGTCTTGCTAGCTTGCCCTGCGCTCAGTGAATCTGCGCTCGACAGTGCAGCCTAGGTGGAGTAGTCGAACGCAGATCCACTGAGCTCTCAACACAGACAGCACCGTCAGAAGAAAAGTTGATAAAATAAATTAAAAATTTTGTATTGTTCGATACATATGCGTACCGAACCGAAAGCACTGTATCAAACGGTTCAATATCGATACGAGTATCGTTGCACCCCTACTAATTATAAGTATTAGTCAATTATGAAAAGGTATAAGGTAATTTCACAGATTTCACAGTTATATTAGTTGTATATCTTTTAAGATTATTCACTGAAATTGGTAAAACTGTAGAAAATTAATAGATAGTGATTTAATGATTTTGAACAATAAATGTTAAATGCATGTAGAAATAAAAGGTATGATATAAAAATATAACAAAATCTAAAAATATCATTGTACATATAATGCATTTTCACACTGAAAAAATGCAACAACAACAAAAAATGAACAACTAATTACATTAGTTTGACAAAAACACTTAATGCTAATAGAAAGCATATGGAAATCCTTTCCATTATATAAGTTGATTTATAGAGGTAGTTTTTGGAATGATAAACAAAGTCTAGAGTCCAGGCACGTGCAGAGAAGGGGCTTGAGCACCTTTCCTGATGGATGCCCAAAGTGCGCTTTTGATAAGGCAACTTTTTAAAAAAAATTATTATTATTTTTTATGTGTGTGTGGGTGCGGAGTCCTGTCTGTGCCCCTCAACAATAATATTTAACTATTAATCACAGTTTTGCTAAATAAAAGGATCTCGCTTGCACCAGTCACATGATCACATTTAACCAATGATCGCCCTTGACGGCAGAACGCGCTGGTTACGAGCCGGGAACGAGCTCACAAAGAGCACGCGCATTTTTAGCGGTCCGGAGCTGTAGGAGAAACACAAGTTAACTCAGAGACACAGACTGATGCGACACAACCAGTAAGTAGGTGTACAGCGTACACTGTAGTGTGTAGCACACAGGAGTATTAGCTTATTACGTACACGTTGGTAAGTTGTCTTGTTGCAACTGACGAACTGAAACAAACGAGCGTGCTGTGCGTGCAACAGCGCGACAAACATTAGAATCAGAATCAGAAAGGGTTTTATTGCCAAATGTTGAGCGGGTTTACAACATTAGGAAATTGCTGCGGTGCTTCAGTGCAAACATACTGTTATAAATACTGTTATAAATTAAGCTTAAATAGACATGAAAATAAAAATGAGAATAAGAACTAAAAGTGCTAAGTAGATAGATAGATATATACATGAGTGCAGGTGGTGATCAGTGCCAAACATGGAATACCTGTCCTTTTATTAACTGCACATATAGTGCTGGTCACAGCTGCTGGCTACCTGTGTAAGGCTGTCATGGGTCTGTAGCTCTGTCACCCTTTTAGGGAACATATTTAGTTTTAAAGTATTTAGAACATATTTAGTTTTAAAGTAAGTTTCCGGGCTTTTCCTGCCTCTCTGGAGGGATTATATTTCACTAAAAACGATCTAATATGCATGTCCACATAATTATGCATTATTATAATATTTAAAAAAACACACGCTGTATTTTAAAGAACATACATTAAGAAGCAGATTATATTAGATTTATATTTTAAATAAGACAAAAGTTGGATTTTACAGCAGTAAAATGATTGTATCTCTACAGTTTAAAAATGTAATAAGCTTTGCCCCTGCACAGAGTGGATAGTGAAAAAAATGGAATCATCATAATGACATTATTTCATATTTATTACTTCCCCCTCCTCTTTGCTTTATTATTGTAGCTCTAGTAATAAATAATAATGTAAGGATTCTGGATCAGCACCATGATGCCCATAGTATATACAGTATTCTGAAGAAGGTCTAACATGTCACTGTGTGTGCGTGCATGTGTGTGTTTTATTTAGATGGATTTTAAAAAAAATATTACTCATGATATAACATTGTGCAGACAAGCCTGGTAAGGACATGAGGAGGAAACAGCAGGAGCTGTGTGAGGCTACTAAAGGCAGTGCTGTAACATTTTTCTGTCATCATTTTATTATAGATTAAGTGCAAGAGTTGTTAGGTGTGGATAATTAGATTATAGTTTATTGCAATAACAAGTTGTGCCTTGTTCTCAGATAGACAGCAAGTGGAGAGAGATATATGAAATGATGGGATGGAAGGAAGAAGAGAAGCAAAGAGTGATTCACAGGCAGATCCTAAATTATTTCTCACAGTTTTTGTTGCCTTATGGTTCCAAGCGCTGTCACCAATCTTTGCATTTTGTTATTATCTCATGACACTTTAATCAGCTACCATCTCTCCTGTGGACTTTTTAATGTCTACAGTCTCAGATCAACACAACCCTGCCCTTCCCATATTAGATTCTTGATGAATGTGTGTTGTTGTTATTCAACCTGGTTCGATGTGCCCCTTTTAAACTTTGAGCACCCGCCCCTTTAAACCTCTCTGCACAGCCCTGCTAGAGTCTGATTAACATAAAATTTTAATGGGCTTCCACTCCAGGGAGGAGAGGGCGGGGCAGCGGGGATTCTCTGGCTGGCTGGAGCAGCACCTAATAACCAGCTCGCAAAATAAAAACAAACCATCAAACTATAGCTGTCAACGTTGGTGCTGTCATCACAATTAACGCGATTTAAATTTTTAATGCTGTGGTGGACCACTAGAGGGCTCCACTCACACCCAGTGTTGAGGAAATGTGTTGCTGAGTTTTGTGGCGATGTATTCAGTTGATGTGAAGAGAGGAATAAAGCTGGAGTGAGAACTAAGAGCTCCCGTGTTGTCTGTGCTTACCTCCACATTGGTGACCCCAGACTCAAACATGTTACAGGTTGAGGATGACGCCGGCTCTGGTCTGGATACATCAACGACTGCAGGTCCTCCGCCTCCTGCTGCAGCTAAGTTTGCTGTGGCGCTGAAGCTGCAGGACTTTTGGCTCCATGATCCCGCATTGTGGTTCGTGCACGTGGAGGCTCAGTTCACCCTTCGTGTCATCTCGACTGACAACACGAAGTATCACCATGTGGTGGCCTCGCTCAACCCGCTAGCCACCTGTCGTGCAATTACCCTCCTCCGGGATCCACCCGCCCAAGGGAAATATGCCGCCCTTAAGGAACTACTTCTTCAGCGCTATGCCCTCTCCGATGCGGAGCGAGCCGAAAAGCTTCTCTCCCTCTCAGACCTGGGTGTTGGCAGACGGTCGGCGGCGGCCATGCAGAGATTTTCACCGTTTAAATAATGCCACGGAGAACGATCGTTACCCCACCTCCACATTCAGGATTTTTCCGCCCATCTCACTGGGACCTCGAATTTTTTCTGACATTGACGTGGTGCCGCGGTATCACCAGGTTCCTGTGCACGCCGAAGACGTTTCTAAAACCACTTTCATTACCCTCTTTGGCTTATTCGAGTCTTTGTGCATGCTGTTTGGCCTGAAAGGCTGATGGACTCTGTCTTGCGGGGGCTGCCTTTCGTTTTCGTGTACCTGGACGATATATTGGTGGCCAGCTGCTCGGTGAGCGAGCACGAGTCCCATCTGCACCATGTTTTACTCTGCTTCCAACCCTTCCAAGTGCCAGTTTGGGTTGCATGTCCTGGATTTCCTGGAGCACCGCATTTCTGCTGATAGTGTGGTCCCGTTGCCAGATGGGGTCCAGGCCGTTTCGGCTTTTCTGCATCCCACGTCGGTTAAAGTGTTGCAGGAGTTCTTGGGGATGATCAATTTTTACAACCACTTTCTCCCCAGAGCTTCCCACCTGCTACAGCCGCTCTACGCTGCCTTGAAAGGTAAAACAGCCAAAGATCTTGTTGACTGGCTCCCAGAATGCATCCAGGAATAATCCACGGCCAAGTCTGCGCTAGCTAATGCCACCCTGCTGGCCCACCCGTTTCCTTCAGCAGAGATCGCATTAACCACTGACGCATTGGACGTAGCAGAGGGTGCCATGTTGGAACAGCGGGTTTCCGGTGTCTGGCAGCCACTCGCCTTTTTCAGTCATACACTGGATGCCGAACGTGTTGTTTTCGTCAGGGAGTAGCTGGCCCTGCACCTCATGACACGAAGTGCATGCATTTTGCTCGAGGGTTGCAACTTTACCACATATGTTGATCCCTTGCAATATCCAAGGTCTCTGACCCATGGAGCGCATGCCAGCAGCGCCAGTTGGCGTCCATTTCGGAGTTTACGATAGACATTCAGCATGTGGCTGGTAAAAGTCCAATCACATCCCTGACTGTCTCTCCTACGTGTTGGTTTCTCCCGTGTATACTGGCGTAGACTACACTGCCATGGCCACTCAGCAATGATCAGAACCCGGACGTCCTTGCCCTTCAGTCAATGAAAACAGGCCTTGTGCTGTGTGGGACGGTTGTCCGCGCCTGCTTCGTAATGTTGTCACTGGCCGCCCAGGCCCGGTAGTTCCCCTTTCATGGCATCATCGTGTTTTTGACCCGGTACATGTTTGTTCCAAGGAGACTGGACATTTTGTTTGTTGCCCATAGGCACCCATTGCATCCACTGTATGACAGGCTGTACAGGGTTATTAAACCGGGCCAAAAACATTTCCTTTTGGATTTTGGAGGTCAGCAGGAGATCTACTCTGATGATAGACTTAATCCTGCACATGTTCTGCAAGACAAGAAACACAAAAGCTGAAGACATTATTATATAGACTTATAATTTTCACCGATGTGTTTTCTAAATTCTATCATACACATGAGTGAGCGAAAAGTGTGCGCCAGGGCCCTCGGTGCGCCTGCTTGCTGCTGCTGCTGTGCTGAAGTCTCACACACAACCTGTTGAAAGGGGAGGGGGCGGGCTGCTTCCAAATAGTGCACATTTCTTTCATAATATTGTCAATTCAAGCCCATTATGTAGTAATTATTTCTCCTGGGTTGTGTGAAATCACAACAAGGTGTAGATCTAGTAGTCTATTAGTTTATGTTGTTGGGTTGGGTGTTGATACTGGAGAGCAAAATTACTGATGGAAGATGGACAAAAAAAAGGTCAAAGCCACCAGGCTTAAAAAAAAAAAAAGAGAGAAAACGATAACAAGCAAAAGATACAGGAAAGCAGATGTGACTTTGGATAATGGCAGGTATTATGTATCTTGAAACAAGATAACATTCATTAGTAGGAATTGGGAAAACTTCTGTTTACCTTTGTTAGCCACTTGGCTATGATAGTAAACAGTAGACTGCTGATGATATGACAAAGACAGCAAATATTAAAAATGACATCTCGCAGGCGCCCAAGAGAAATCCTAGTAAGATGCTCAAACCAACTGGGTCCTTTTGATGTGGCAGCAGATGCCAGTCTTTGGAGGAAGCTTATTTCCACTTATTTCTTTTGGTCACTACCCATAGCTCGTAACTGTAGGTGAAGGTAGGGACATAGACCAAATGGTAAATTGAGAGCTTTGCTTTTATACTCAGCTCTATCGTCACCACGACGAACCAGTACAGTACATCGCTGCAGACACGGCACCAATCCGTCTGTCGATCTCGCACCAAAACCTCGATGCAATTCCAGCACAAATGCTTCAAATGTTTCACTGTCTCACATAGCCTCATGTTGGCCCTCACAACCTTCAGGGAACTTAGAAAGAATGTTCCTTCATGGTTCCCTGAAGGTCACTGATTGCTGGGTTATGTAATTAAAACAGAGAACTTGGATGTATTAGGAGCAGCTGTTTTTCAGGGATCTCTGCTAATGTTAGGTAGACAGAGTGCTGAAGTGTTGCTGCCCTCTGCTGGACTGTGTATTGTATTCAACAGTCTAAAAATAAGATACCCATGTAATCCCTGCATGCTATTAAATGGTGTGAAGATTGAAAACTGCTTCTACTGATTCTGAAAACTTTCCATCGGGATCTTTATTAATCAGTCACCTCAATCATTAACTCACAACCACAAAGTTTCAACCTGGTTACAATAAAATATCTTTTAATTGTGGAGGGAAAGTGTATTTGTCATGGCTTTCATGAATGAAAGATTTTCTGTTTTCCTTGTTTTCACACATTTCCTCAATGGTTATGACATATGTACATTCGGTTCTTTCCTCAAGAGTGACTCTTTTTGCGAACTGATCTTCATCCGCACTGCCCTGGACACCCACATGCAGTGCATGGCAGCCAAACAATAACATAAACCTGACATCTCTGCCTTAAACACTGATATATTGTCAGGAATTCTGCATGCCTTTTTAATTCATGAATTCATCTATCAGTACTTCTCTTTCTGAATCTTTTTTCTTCCTGATTTCCATTGGTAAAAATAATTCAAAATGTGTTTAGCTACTGGCTTCTGGATCTGACAGACAGGAAGAGATTACAGTGAATAACAGATCTGACTTCATTTCGCTCCCAGTTTAGAATTGGTTGTTGTTCTCAATTGTTCTGTATTTTTAAGGCTGTTTAAATATTTTTTTTCTTTTTGTTCTGTTTGGGTTTTTTGTTTGGTTTTGTTTTATATTTTGAAAATTAGCATTTCTGTCAGTGACAGAGACTTATGTGAACAATTACATTTTGCTGATGTGTGTGTGTGTAATCTCTAAATACATGTTTGTGCCTGTGTGCCCAGCAAACATGACATAGGAAAGTTGTGCAAGACAGAAAAAGAAATAGTATGACTTTTAAGGAAGGACATCCCCTCACCGACAGCATGTTACAGCCTGCGAGGCAGGAAAGGATTCAGTTTTTATTCAGCTCACAGGAACACCATCAAATTTTGGGAACAGCGGACATCCTAAGCTCATACACATCACGGAGAAATAACAAACCGTCAAAAGGTGAGCAATATAATATATGCTAAATAGCCATTTTAGCATATTTTCTTTTGGACCTCTTTTTGATAACAAACAGCATCTTATTTTTGTTGCAATACTTACTGGTGATGTAAGCCTGGCAGTAATTAATTTTTTTAATTACTTGCAAAACTCCAACAGGGGAAAATAAACTGTGTTTTAGTGGTACCAGAGAAAAGAAATTAAGACTTGATGTCTTGTTCTCATCATATCATCGTATGTTGACCAGTTTGTGAACCTTTAGACTTCTGTCACTATCACTTATATTTATTTTGTCTTTGCAATCAGTGCACAGATGCGTCATACTTTTTACCACAAGGTGCAAAACTGACGCAGAGGATGACTGTCTGTGACTTCGGCATATCAGTTTTCGACATGAGACAAAGGAGAAAAAAAATCAACTTGAAACAAAGACTGTATACTTTTCTTTGACGCAGTGCAGCTAATGTTCGACAAGTTTGGGCTGAATCGTTGGCTTGGTTGCAAATATTTAAACGCTGTGTCAGGGTAGCACATGTCCTCAGTTATTGTGTATGACTGTCTTCTTAATATTATGGTTTGTTTGAATGTTGTTTGTTGAAAGAATCAAATCGTCCAAAAACTCTGTGTTCAGTAATTTCTGTCTCTTTTAAAAAAAAATAAACTAGTAAAAAACTATATCTAATTTGCTTAACACAGAGAAAAAATAGGTTGTGGTTTTAGGAAGTGTCTAAAATCTATCTGTACAGAGCTGATGGTTAAATGTCGAAAAATAAACACTACCAAAGTCAAACATTTTGGTTTTCATATTTGTAGAAGTTTTTTAGATCTATTAAGTAAAATAGGATTTAGGCTTTGGCAGTGCAGGTTAAACGTGTTTTGGGTGGTCTCCCATGATTTCTGGATTAAGGTATTGAAGCTCTTTCTTGATAAGAAACATCTGTTCAACGTGGAGAGTCCGACAATGCAGTTCAAAGGTGCTTATCTTAAAAAGATAAATAAATGAATGAATGAATGATAATAAATAATACTGAAGGGGCAATCTGCTAACCTGACAGTCATGCTGAATTATAACCACCTTAAACAGTTTCCATGAAGTTAGCATTTATCAAGGGCTACTCTAGTATTTTGGACCTCATTAGTTTTGTTTATTTATTGATTTATAGAGTTAAATGTCAATCTCATTTATTTCACCTCTGTAATATTCTTGATATTTAAATTGATCTATAGTTATATATATTTTAGAGCTATTGCTGATGTTTTGTAGACTTTTTTAATACATTGTCATATTAAATTAGTTTAGTCTGTTACTGTCATTGTCTTGGAGCAGCTGTAAGCTACATAATTTCCTTTTGGTGTTCTAATGTTTTTTCCCATCTAAAGGATCAAAAATTCTTCTGCCATGAGCTACTCAAGTCTCTCACCTCTGACTGGACCAAACCCCACCCCTGACCCTGATGATGAAAATGCTGTGAAAAATGACTATTCCGCAGCCATTGGTGCCCTCATCCTCAGCTTGGTCTTCCTCCTGGGCGTCCCTGGAAATCTCTTCATTGTCTGGAGCATCCTGGCCCGCTGCCAACAACGCTCAGTCACCACTCTCCTCATCCTTAACTTGGCATGTGCTGATGGGTTCCTCATGGCTCTCACCATCTTTTTCATCATCTACCTGGTCATGCAGACGTGGGTCTTTGGAAACGCCATGTGCAAAATCCTGTTCTACCTGTGCAACTCCAACATGTATGCGTCAATCTTTCTGATAACCCTGATGAGCGTGCACAGGCTGTTGGCCATAGTCTTTCCACACACACTGTATCGCCTGATCACCAGGAAGGTTGTGAGGAGGGTGATCCTAGGCACATGGGTGCTAGTGATGGTCATGTCTATCCCCTCATTGGTGTTTCGAGATGTGAAAAAAGAAACTGATGATATGAATCAAACAACATATGTGTGTGCATCCAATCACACACTGCGTAGACATGTAAGTACACTTGTGTTGGTTATTTGTCTGCCACTGATCTGATTAGTTTCATAATCATATTTCCATCCATAAAATGCCTTCAAAAAACCTTCTGCATGTGAGAGCCCGTAAAATAGTGAGTGAGGTATTGAACATGATCACATGCTTTGAGCAAAAGGTCCAGCACACCTATCTGAAATTAGGTTTGTTTTGTTTTTTGTTTTTTAATAAAGATGCATCAACAACTTGAAAATCTTCATTGGATGATATCAGCCTTCTTAATTCACATCAGTTTATAATAGGGTGCTGAAGAGAAAAAAACTGAGAACAGTCTTTTCTTTAAAAATGAATTCTGTTTCAATGTCACAAACCACTGACTTAAAAAATAATAATAAAAGAAATAATGGTAATACTTACATAAAAAAAATTTTTATTAGATACAACTTCATGAACAAGTAGACAGTCTATTTTAGCAGGAGGTTGCAGATGTGTTTTTTTACTGTGTTTAAGGCCTTTTATAGCTGCAGCTTAACTAGTATCCATAGTGCTTTGAGCAGATTACTTTTACTAAAAGATTCTTTATACACTAGACTCCATGTGTTTCAAGCTTTTGTGTTGATCCTTCATAAAGGATCAATGCAAAACATTGTTTTTACAGGTAAAAGTCCTCTTTTTAAAATACTAGTTTTGTTGGCATTTTTCCCTTTATTGGATAGCAAAGCAGTTAAGATGATACTTGAAGAGGAGGAGAGAGGGAAGACATGCAGCAAAGTGCTGTAGGTCAGATTCAAACCTAGGTCATAGCTCTCCAGCCATGTGGCAGGTGCTCACTTGTTCACCCACTAAGCTAAAGTGGCAACAATAAAAGTTGTTGTTAATTAAGGCTTCAAAACTAGTAGCATCCAAATTCCCTTCAGAATGTATATAGTAAAAATACTTATTATGCAGAAGGTGCCTTTTCACACAAAAGACATCATGACGTGGCTTAAAGTCATCAGATGTTTGATTTTGTCCTCTAATTTGACAAAAACAAAGCAAATAAGTTAATTCAACTTAAACAGTTTTACAATTTTAGCTTTTACTTCTTTATTTGTTTTCCATATTTGGAGAAATCAGTTCATGTCTGAAGAAAAGTGCCTTTCTTTATATGCTCTTGTTTTCAGGTGAGGTTTCAGTACGCATTTGAGACAGTGGCAGGATTCATTATTCCTTATGCAATCATTATAACCTGCTATGTTGTCATCCTGAAACGCTTGAGGGAGACCAAGTTCCAACGAAATGCCCGCAGCGAGAAACTCATCCTGGCTATTGTCATCACATTTGGTCTGTTCTGGCTGCCGTACCACGTCATCAACATGGTACAGGTGTGCGAGGGCGTGTTCTTGACAAATATTCGCATCAAATCTGCTCAAAATTTCTGTTAAGAGAGCTGTGCTTTTGAGTGAATACTGAGTGTGTTTTGTTTTCTACCAAAGGTGGCAGCTGCTTGGTACCCAAAGAACTCACCCATAAGAGAAAGGTGAGTAACTTAAGTTTTCTGTAGAGGCTCTTTCTCCACTCTGTTACATATTCTTTACTTGGTTGTACATGTGTGTGCTTTTGTGTGGCATCAATATATGGTTAGTGTGTGGTGACAGTGTGTGTCCGTTTACCTTTATGGTGGGAAGCCTGTCTCGGTAGCTTCCCAGGATTCTGTTGCCCGGATCCCCACAACAAAGTTGTAGCTGCTGTGTCTCTAGCGGCTAGCTGTGGCTAATGTGTTAGCCAGTGAGTGAGACCCTCGGGTCACATCCCTAGCTCAGGACTGATGAGGAAAGTGGACATCTCACAGGCAATGGCAGAGTGTCCAGGCCCTTGGGCGGGATCCACTCCCTCATCAGCTTTGGGATCAGACTACAGCGGGCTAGGCCACCACCCCCTCCCCTGCCTGAGAATAACTTGGGGCACCTACAGCTCTGTGGATCCTTGGGTCACGTCCCCAGCTCGGCCCCCGACTTCCCACCACACCTGAGCAGGCGAGGAAGGTGGAAGTGTCTGGGCCCTCGGGCGGGATCCACTCTGCTGAAACCAAAAAAAAAAAAAAAGCTTTTTTGGGTGTGGGTGTGGGTGTGGGTGTGTGTGTGTGTGGGGGGGGGGGGGGGGGGGCATTCTTACAAGAGCAAGTACAAACTTTGAATGTTTAAATGCAAAAAGTGCAGTGGAAGTGCTAGAGGAACAGGTCAGTAAGAGCATCTTAGAGAGGTATAGTTTTTCACAAGTAAAGATGGGTAAAGGGTCACCAATCTGCAAAAACTACATCTAAAATATGTGCAGCAATTTCAGAGTAATGTTCCTCAATGTGAAGTTGTTAAGACATTGACCATCCTACCATCTCAAGTACATAATATTATGAAATTATTCAGAATGTGGAGAAATCTATGTGCAATGAACACAGCTGGAAAAAAAAAAATATATATATATATGACTTTTCAAACTTTTCCCCTGCAGATTAGATACCATCTCTCAGTCCAGCCGTGCAGTGACCTCAGCTTTGGCCTTCATCAGCAGTTGTGCTAACCCAGTCCTCTACACCTTTGCAGGGAAATCCTACATCAAGAAAAATGGTTTTGCCTTCATGGCTAAGCTATTTGAGGGAACATTATCAGATCAAACAGGAACCAAAAGCACCCGACTCACAACTTATGACAATGTCGGAGAGAGTAATGTTGATTGTCAAAATCGTACAGTGGCTTCTACTCCAGAGAACAGGAATGTTGAATGAACTTCATACACTAACAGACTGTATATATAAATGAAAGCACTTAAAATTGTGTAAAGCTTTATGTGGACTTATAGATTTTAGGCGACACACAACAAGCATTAGCACAGCATTTTTTTTTTATTTAAAATGTGATAACACAATTAAAGTGGAAGTCAGGAGTGTAAGCACAAGCAGTTTACCTTTGTCTACGTGCATCTGAATATCTGTAAAGTCTCAGGTCTGTAAATACGTTAAAACTACAGTTTTAACGTATTTACAGTTTTTATTCCTTAATGTAAAGACTGATTTTGTAAAATAAAAATGGTGTGAATGAAAACTGATGCTTGCTACTAAAGTACACTTTAAGAAAACTGCATATTCAATATCAAATTTTTAATGCAGTTTACTTTCAATGAAAAAAAAAACAAACATTTAAAATCTTCTGCAATTGACAGTGTCATGAGCTTCTGTCAATTTGTTACATAGAAGCTCAAGTCAAAGGACTCGTGTTTAACCTGCTCTTTGTCCAACATTTCTACATAATCTGTTTTTATTTTGTCATCGTTAAAGCCAGAATGACTTTGAGCCAAGAAAAGGCACCACCAACTTAAACTAATTGTTACAAATGTAGAAGAGCATCTCTAAATTAAAGAAAATTGGCTACAGCTGCAGAAAATGTGCCATTCCCAATGCTACAATTTCCTCACCAAAAATGGTCAAAGTCAGAGTTTTGTGCAACAGTGGATTCTCCAGGCTTGCATCGATGCTGGTGATCAATGTTTGAGCGTTGTTAAACACAAGTACACTTGCATACCATTGTTGCTGCCAAGGCACAAGGCTCAGGTCATCTCAAACTGGTTTCCTCAACTTGAAAACGAGCTCACTGCTCAAATAGCCTCCAGTCAAATACAGCACCTTTGGTTTGTGGAATGAAGGTTGTATCAGATGCCAAACCCAAAGCAACTGATTCCATCACATCCAAATAGACCAAAATCTGAGTAGTCTTTTCAGCATCTTGTCAAATATCTGCTATAGTAGCAGGCTGTAGCCAATGACAGAGCCCAGTGAGTGTATACTGAGGTCAAGACCTCAGTTTTACTGATGCTTTTCATACCTTTCAGTAACGCCTTTTCGCAGATTAGGCAACAGGAATTTTAATTTAGTCATTTTCCCCACTACACTTTAAACATGTTTTGACTGGTCCATTTAGACATGCTCCTAGTCTAATTTTAATATTCATTTACCCATTTTGCCCCAACTTCAAATGTACGGCACATTAACCATAATTAAAAAGAAGTCCTTTGCACAGTCCAAGCCCAACACATCCTGCAAAAACAATTCAAATTACACATTTGAAATAAAAACCTGCAAAAGTTTGATTTACAAAAAAGATGCTTTATTGAACACACAAATGTACCTACTACAAATTGTTATCACTGAAATATAGATCGAGTTGTATTTGTCAGTAAACAAAGATTTAATTAAAATAAATTACATTTAATACTTTAAAATCACAACATTTCCACCTGAGGAAACCCAGCAGCCAGAGCTCATGAAGGATCCATCACCTGTCAAACAAAGAAAATATTAATAGAGCCTCAAAGGCATTAATTCAGCATTACAATCACTTTAGAGTTTAAAATAAATTTAAAAAAAAAAAAGCGGGGGTGCTGTTGAACTATGTTGTACTAAACTCTGGTTACACATTTTTAGTACACCACAATATAAAAACATACTGCACAGACTAAGTAACACTTTAATGTTAACCTAAGTTAATTTAAAGTCATCAACTTAATGGCTTTGCTGACTTCATGCATCACTGACTAGCCAATCAGTGACCACATCTACCGACACATTTTCATATTTCTGCCTCGATTGCTTGGTACCCCGGTTGAGTTGGTACTAAAAAGTACCAGGTACTATCACCTAATGGAAAACCCTAAAAAGTGTCCTGACCCGAATAGGGACTAATGAAAACGGGCTATTAGATAATACAGTTCCTTTGTGATGCAAGCTTATTGGCCATTCAATATCAGATTATGGGCTGGATTTTGATATCCAGAGTGGATTGCATTAACCATTTAATTTCAAAAAGTCAAAAAAGAAATTACCTAGCAGAATTTGACCCTAGTTAAATTTTGACTATAGACCACCTGACTTCAGCATCTTAAATTTCTTAATTTTATCTCCTTTTCTGTCTTCATTTATTTATTTGTACCATTTGTATTTTATCTGCTCCATTTCTATTGTATATCTTAACCAGCATCTGAGGGTGGACAGCAAAGAAACAATTTCATTTGCACAGAGAAATGCCTTTCTTTGGACACATGACATTAAACACCTTGAATCTAAAGCTTGGAATTTCCACACTTTTAAACCAACAGATATTGTGATGCAATTTCAGCGAACAAAACTGAAGAAACCTTACCTTGGACAAACCCAGGTTCTGAAATCCTGAAAGAAAAGGAACATAAGATTAGCTTAACTGTGCACTTACACACCAGAGTGCCTGACCTGCGCCCTTACTGTCAAACCCATCAGTGCAGTGAAAGATAATCATGAGGTTTCAGGTGAAACACGGACTCACATGCAACTCATCATCAAGGTTTGACTAAAAGCTGGCAAGTCTGCATCTGCAGCAGATATAGGATGAGAACTGAAATGGCACAACTCAATTAATGGGCCTAGTGTGATAAAGCTAAGAGTAAAGAAATAATTTCTTATTTTTTATATAATGCACAGTTTAGTTGATGCATTTTAAAATATGTGAACTGAACATTCAGCTTGTGATTTTGGTAAATATTACAGCAATGTTTAGAACTTACAGAACCTATTTAGCTCATTTAGGAATTTACACTCTCAGACAGGACACCCTTTGTTTTACAAGCATAAACAAAGGGAACACGCTGACTCCTCAAGTTCTTAATAAAACGGATTATACCCTTTGTAAACAAGGCCTTAGTGCTTGACCTTTATATTAGTTTTAACTTTGTTACTTATGAAGTTCATAGTGGACGTTAGTTGACCCAACATAGTAGCACGGAGGTCTTATGCACGGGTATTGTGTCGTTTGACGCAACTAAAATTAACTTCCAATTTTAATCAGTTTCGTTCAGTTCTCGGTGAAGCAAGCCAGCTTCATTTAGATCGTTTTGTATGTGATGTTTGAAGTACACACCAACCCTGACCCACAGGTCTTCCTCCTATGGGAGTCATTAACCTCAAACACATCAACCTAAACTGTTATAACATTACAGAACACAGCCCCAGCACCTTAAAGTTCACTGAGCTCCCAATCAAAGCCTAAATTGCATCAGTCCCTCGTACGCATCGTTTAATATTCAGCTGCATTTTCCTCATCAGCGGAAACCACGAGGTGCATTTGGCGCTACTGAAGCTGCGAGCTAACAATGTGCGGAAATAACGTCAAGAAACGCGCAAACGCATAAATATAAACACGACACCTGCGACAATAACGAAGAGAATCATCACTAAAGGTGAACATTTAGAGTAAAACAAGGTGTCACCTCGTCAGTTCTCGTCTCTCCAGCACCTCATGTCCGACCTGCATCACCGCAACAAGGAAGAGAGGTCGTTAATGAGCCCGAGCCGCAATTTATCTCTTTATCAAACCACGTGTCTCCTGCTCTCTGCCGTCAAGCAAGCAGCTTCCGGGTTTGCCTGTGCCGCATAAAAATAAAAACATCGTTTAACAGTATACTTTCAAGACATCTTCTCTTTAATACGCATCCTGCATTTTATTACTGAAACACATTACTACCGAAATGTAAACATAATGACATAAAGTAGCAGCATAGAGGCACAGCCTGAATATACAAGTAAGGAAAATACATACAGTGGCATACAGTACATTTTCCACATGACTTTATCAATCTCTAACGTCATTTTGGAGGAATTTAGGCCCACACGTCCTTACGGTGTTGCTTCAGCTAATTGACGTTAGCAGGCAAACTTTTATGCACAGCTCTCTGAAGGTCCTGCTACAATATTTTAATAAGGTTGCAGCCTGGACTTTGACTGAGCCAATGCAACATCTTTTTTTAGCCATTCTGTTGCAGATTTGCTGCCAAGCTGTAGCTATGGGACCGATTACTTCTTATTTGACCCTAAAATACTTTTGATTAGCACAGTGAATGCAAGGTGCACAGGTCCTGTGGCCGCAAAACAGTCCTCAAATTGTTACCCTCTACCACCAACAGCTGGTATGAGATGTTTGTGTTGATATGCTGTGTTTGGTTTTTTGGCAAACATGGCGGTGTGCATTATGACCAACCATCTCAACTTTGGTTTCATCTTTCCAAAGCAGCACATTGTTACACACACATGTGTGTGTGTGTGTGTGTGTGTGTGTGTGTGTGTGTGTGTGTGTGTGTGTGTGTGTGTGTGTGTGTGTGGCTAACATAAATAACAACATTAAATTATTATTGTTGTTACTGTTGTTAAGATTTTTGTTTAGCTTTTGTTGATGTTGGACTGTGGCCCATGGCGCTATTGTAATATTTACGTTTTGTATTACCCTTTAATTAGCAGAAAATGATACCATAAATGGCATTTTTATTTCACTCGTATTCCTGTGCATCTGTGCTAATCCTGCAATGATAAATGTCTGTTACAAGATATTCGCTTTAAACTTAAAAAAAACAAACAACTTTTGTTTGTTTTAACTATGATCTTCTACATTAATAATTTATTGCCTAATATTACCTAATTTCTTACCTAATCAAGGGTAAACATTTCTCATTCGGATGCTGTAGTTACGTCAGAGGCGGTGTGAGTTAAACTTTTAGTACTTAAAGCTAAAAAAGTTTGGGGTTATATCTCATATTATTCCTTTAAATTTGAAAAGGAACGACATCACATCACTAAAACCAGCAGGTGTCAGCTGTTACTAAAGAATTCCGACTTCGGTCAAGCCAACTGTGAACTACAAAATGACGTGTTTGCGTGGCTAAAGTACGGAACGCCGATTGGACCAAACTCGCTGAAATTACAGTTTGATAACAGAGCAGCTGGAGAAGGAGAGGAGGGAGGTGGAGATGGGGGAGATGCCTCTAGGACTGAGAAGAACACAACTTGTACTTAATTATTGGGCAAATCTTCAAGGCCATGGACAGGATCACCCACCACAAGCAGTTCTTAACCCTTGCTGGGAGAAAGGAAGGTGGAAATCAAAGAGCTTTGGGTGGATTGTGGGTGGAAGAGCAAGTGAATTTAAACTGGATCAGTTGGACGAGTTTAGTTACCAGCAATACATCCATGGATACTTCCCGAAGCCATAGTAGATTTCACTCTACTGGATAAGAAGAATAAGGATGGGGAATTTATTTTAAACTCCTATACTGTGCAGGCTTACATTGACCAGTTTTATGGTTATGTTCAATTATATACAGATGCAACAACGAATTCAGCCAGTCAAATTGGTGTAGCAGAGTTGTGGTCCCGGAGTTCATGGTTAAAATAGGAAAAAGGATCACTGATAGACTGTCAGTATTCACTGGAGAACTGCTTGCAATTCTGTTGGCGGTTCAGTGGGTGGAAGATATGAGGCCATTAAAAGCTATTGTTTGTTCAGAATCAAGAGCATCATTGCTTAGTTTACAAGGTAGTCACTCAGATGTGAGAGCAGATATTCTAGCAGAAATTCAGCAAACACTGTTCAGGATAAACATGATGGGTCTTACAGTTGTATTTCTTTGGATTCCAGCCCATTATGGAATAATGGGGAATGAAATGGCAGACAGAGCGGCGAAGCAAGCCACAAAACATGGGACAGTTGACCTGGCTGTTAGTTTTGGTCAAGCTGAAGTGAAGAGTATCATACGGCAAGAAATGAGGGGTAGATGGCAAAAGCAGTGGGAGGAGGAAAGGAGAGGATGGTGGTTGTGTACAATACAAAGGGGGGTAGGAGAAATGAGGACCACTGGAAGGAGCAGGAGAGAGGAGATGGTCATATCGAGATTGAGATTTGGACATACTGGGTTAAATGCTACATTATTCTTGATTGGGAAACATAATCAGAATCAGAATCAGAATACTTTATTAATCCCGAAGGAAATTAGGGAAATGTGCCTTCTGTGGAGACACAGAAACTATAGAGTTTGTGATATTGCACTGTCCGAAATATCAGGTGGAGAGGAGACAATTATCCCAAAACCTTATTAATATGAAAATGAAATTGGATCTGGTTGACCTATTGCAAAAGGATTCTGGAAGTAAGAGTTACCAGGCTTTATTTCAGTTTTTTAAAGCGGGAAGAGTGTTTGAAAGGCTTTGAGGTGTTTTTTTCTTTGGGGGGGGGGGGGGGGGGGGGTCATTCCAGTTCACACTCCATACTAGTGGTGGCGGTAATGCACCAATCAGTTGTTTGCCAACCGCCAATAACATTTAAGAAGAGGAAGAAGAAGGAGAGGCGGGACTCGTGTACGGTGGCGTTTTGAGATTTAACTCAAGGTTAAAGGGCAAGCTTCTGGCCATGAGAATTTTAATAGGTATGTACAATTTTTAAAAAGTTACACGTTTTTTAAAGTTGCTCGGAAAGGTCAGAGTGACATTACGCTTTCAGATAGCTTACAGCTAATGTTTACGTTGCGGCCAATAATGAAGTGCCTTATATCCATTAGTGAGTTTGTACTTGTGCATTATGTTGGGCTGTAGCACTATTGTGAACAGAGCCTGGGAGCTTTGAGAACGCGTGCTAAAATTGTGTGCTTATGGTGTGTTTCATAGTTGAGTTTGCTCAGGTAATGCACAAAGCAATGTTTTGTAAGCATGTACAATACGCATGCGCACCACGCATGCCTGACTCACCTAATTTTGAGGGGTTTTTTTTTTAATAATTTTGAAGCGTTTCTATGTATTTATTTAGTTGTTTGGTTAAATAATAGAAATATTTCTCTTCAAGTTAAACTGCAAAAACGAGAATAAAGTTGACCCAAAGCCACCTTAACATCATGAGCAAAAAGGGGTTTTTGAAAGTTGCGACTTTCCTTTGTTACAGCAGTTAAAACTGAGTGTAATTTTAAATTTAACGTAAAACGTTAAAAAAAATTAAAGCACGATATGATAAAATACATCCGATTTTAAATCTTTATACAGTACTTTCTTTACACACTTGTACGAATCACAGTTTCTAAGTTGAAGGAAGTGTGCGGCTTTTGTTTTTCAGTTTGTTCCTTTTGATGATTTCTCTGTCTGTTGTGTTTCTTGTAGGAGGGGGATCTGGCTTCGTTGGCCGTGAGCTTACCCGCCTACTTAGGGACAAAGGTCATGAGGTGACACTGATATCCCGCCAGCCTGGTCCAGGGAAGATAACATGGGTATGACCTAAAGTTAATACAAAGTAAAAGGGCAAACCTAAAGCTCATTTTAGGACCTGTTGATTCATCACTGTTAACGAAACATCATACTGGAGCTGATGCCTGATGGTTTGAAGGACTGAAATTAGAGAGGGAGAAGAAATTTATTAATCCCTTGTGTTGGTTCCTCCGGGAAATTCAGTATGTACAAACTGTACAGACAGAGACGTACAAACTGATAAATGTGGAAGGGGGATAGTTTACAGATCCAGTGACATTTCTAAACATCTTTATGTTTCTTCCTCTCTGCTCCTGCAGGGTGAGTTGGAGTCTCAGGGTCTCCCACCGTGTGAGGGTGCCGTCAACTTGGCTGGAGAGAATCTCATAAACCCACTGCGATGGTGAGAAATAAATAATCAAAGAGTCCATCCTAATATCTGCAGCATTTTAATGCATTTACAGGGATTGTCACTGTTTCTTCCCTTGGGTTCTGTTTTGAAGGTGGAATGAAAGCTACAAAAAAGACTTGTTCTCCAGTCGCGTTGACACAACTAAAGCTCTTTCTCAAGCCATTGCTGCTTCCTCCAGTCCTCCTCACTCTTGGGTGCTGGTGTCAGGTGTAGGTAAGCATTTAATAAGTGAGATTCTACTCAGCACAGCAGATCAGATGAACTCATTGATAATATAGATAGTAATTCTATTATTGCTTTTCCATTGTTTGTTTTCATGACACAGCTTGCTATAAACCCAGTCTAACAGCTCAATACACAGAAGACAGTGAATGGACTCCGTTTGACCTTCTCTCAAGACTTGTCAAAGAGTGGGAAGCAGCAGCACTACTTCCTGAAAATGTGGCAAAAACCACCAAACAAGTCATCATCCGGCCTGGTTTGTATACGGCACATGCTTATGTTTATTGTCCATTCTGAATCTGTCTAAATCAGGGGTGGGCAACTCCAGGCCTCGAGGGCCGGTGTCCCTGCAGGTTTTAGATGTGTCCTGGAACCAACACAGCTGATTTAAATGGCTAAATTAGCTCCTCAACATGTCCTGAAGTTCTCCAGAGGCCTGGTAACAAACTAATCATGTGATTCAGGTGTGTTGTGTTACCCAAGGTAAGATCTAAAACCTGGCCTGGAATTGCCTACCCGTGGTCTAAATGGATCAGATGAAGGGCCACATGCATCTCTCTGGTCCTATGTAAGGTCTTTGCTGGATTTTTTTTCCTATTTCTTAAGAACATGGCTTTCAGATCCTGTTCGTCTGCTGTAGATGGTTTCTTTAGGCCTGCCACTTC